CTTGTGGTTCATGTCGATGACACCGTCGATGATGACCCGAACCACCTGCTAGCGCAGAGTGACCCCACGATTCGAGGATCACCCCTTTTCACTGGGGTCATGGTCATTGCCGGGACATCTCTATGGCGGTTCTTCGAAGACCTTTTGGACACCAGCTGCGCCAAGCAAACAAAAATTCGAGGTTCACACACTCATTCTCCACAGGGTTGAGCGGAGGTTTCGAAGGCTGAGTGAACAGTTTGCGTGCTGCGCACCGGGGCTCGTTCCGCCATTACTTGCCGGATCGGTGATTGGACGGTTTGATTGATTAAGGAATTGACGGCGTGATGGTTTAATTCCTTGACTGCCTGGTTCATGCGCTGGCGAATTGAAACGCACAATGGAAAATCATGCCAGACTATGAAGATTGTACCTAATGAGCAGGTGCGAGTGGCAATGCGACTGAACAGGAGATGAAGTTTATGCTACTGGGCCGAGCCCAGACAAGTAAACATTGAGCAAAGGACTCAATTGCAGGACAGCTTCCCAAACATTCCCAGACTGCGCTTCGAGAACTGATTGTGTGGCCTCCTTCATCTTCTGGGGCTCGCCGCGCCATTCAAACCGCATGAGGTTTTGACCAAGCAGTTCCTGTCAGAGCAGACATAGTGCGGCCCAAACAGAACCGTGAGCTGGTCACCAAGCATAGCTGAAGCACCTCAAAAGAATGACTAACTGGAAACTATGTCTTGATTATTGAGCCCTGTAGTCGAGCATGCAAATTGTGATCACTTATTTTGGACGCTGCAGTCACCACAAGAATGCTTAAGACAGAGGTGATCAAATGAACGCGGTCCCCCAGTGCTCCTCAAGAGCTACTTGTAGTAGCTCTAAGAGCCTTGGCGCTGTCGTGCAGAAAGTCGTTCCCGTCTTCCCTCATGTCGATGAGGAATGGACGGGGTCTGGTGCCCCTGTTCTGCGCCTCAGCTGGCTTGATTTCGGTTCACACTTCGCGCTACGGAAAGTGGAAACAGGAAAACGAAAACAGAAAAACTGCATTTCTGATGCGAGTGTTTGTGATGCGGACTCATCAATATGCAAGCAAACATGTGTTGGGGCAGCCACCATCCCGGCCTAAGCCAAGACACCCAATATCGAAGTTCGAAGTACGTGCTGGCGCTATTGCCCGTGTCTTCTCCGTACTCCTCCTCGGCAAAGGCGACGAAAGCACACCCACAAGCAAGATCAATAGCATGCCAAAACACCCAAACTGCACGAAGCAACCAACCAGAGTGAAGTCAATCCAAGGGTCGCAGTTGCGCATGTGGCGCTCGAAAACCACATTCTGAATTAAGTTGCCAAGCGGAGGCTGCACCTCAGTAGCCGCATTGTGGGAATGCCGGTGCTTGAGCTGAGTCTCCCCTCCCAGTTTTGCGGCCCAAGGTGCAATGATTCGCTGAAGGCCATGCTTCTGCAGGGCCAGCCGTAACTCTTCAACCTGCACGTTCGGACAAATGCCCCGACCCACAGGAAGGTTGCAATCCAACCTCGCCTGCGCCCGCGGGTAATCCCTCTTGAACCGCATGGACGCGAAGAGTCTTCGAAACACTTTGGGCTGCCTCACACCGTGAGCCAACGATTGCTGCCGGACACCACTGTTGTAAAGTGAAAATGCTCCAAATCCGTCACAGAAGGGGAAGCAAAACATTATAATATATATATATATATATATACATACATTATATATATATATATATATTATATTTTATATATATATATATATATTACATATGTTATAAATATATTATATATATTATATATATTATAAATATATTATATATATTATATATTATATATATTATATATTATATATATTATAGATTATATATATATATTATGAATATTATATATTATATATATTATATATTATATTATATTATACATATTATATATACATTATATATATTATATTATATTATATTATATTATATTATATTATATTATATTATATTA